AGGAACAATGGTAATAAGCTGATGGAGAATAGGTTTAGGTTAGAGATCAGAAGGCAATATTTTACAGTTAGGGTGGCCAAAATCTGGAACCAACTTCCCAGGGAAGTGGTCCTCGCCCCTACCTTGGGCAAATTCAAGAGGAGGTTGGACAATCACCTTTCTGGGGTCTTGTGAACCCAGCATTCATTCCTGCCTGTGGCAGGGGGTCAGGCTAGATGATCTGTTCAGGTCCCTCCTGAGCCTAGCTACTATGAAACTATGAAACTATGGGGGTGCGCTGCCACTGCCAGGCACTCCCTATGTGTCGCCAGTGGTAGCGCCCTCCAGCCCCTGTCACGCATGTTGTGGTGGCATCAGTTATTCTGTCCTAGGAGAGTACTGTCCCAGACAGCATAATTAATCAATTTACTGCACCCTAATACCTGGGCACATGTACACCAGGCTTTACTGCAGAGCTAATGAGTCAACTCCGCAGTCAAGCACACTGTAGATGGACCCATGAAGCTTGCTTGCTTCGGCAGCATCAAACCCAGCCCCAGGCAGGAGAAACCTACCGGCCGGACCATGGAGATTTGCTCCGGTAGCCTGGTCCTTAAGCCCAGCTGCAAACCCAGGTGCAGCCAGGGGCAGATCCAGCAGTGGGGTGCACTTGCATGCCACTTTGATTCCTGCTCCATGCACGGTTTAAATTAAACCAATTGCTGGGCATAGGCCACAGCATTTCTAGTCAGGCAATAGTGAAAGAGTCAATTGACTTTTTCTTTTTAATGGAGTAGCAGACCATCAAGATTTCATAGACATTAGGGCTGGCAGGGACCTCAAAGATCGTCAAGTTCAGCCCCCCGCCCCAGGGTCCCAGCAAGATAGACATCCAAGCGTTTCTTGAATGAGTCCAGAGTAGGGGCCTGCAGCACTCTGGCTAGCCCTTCTTCTGCACTGCTGCTGTTCTGTTCCCTGCTTCTGGTAATGTTGCTTCTGTCACAGCCTTGCAGACTAGTTTTAACCCTTGTTTTGCAGGTTAAGTATGCATTCCCCATGGAACATTCAACAAAAGTAAAACATGCATAGGCTTCCAACAACTGAGGTGGTAAAACGCTTGCTACAATATGAAAAAATAACACCTTGGGAAAATGCGTTAGTAGGTACAGGTGCCTCTTTCCCCATAATAAGTTATAAATCCTCTCTGTTCCAATGCTGGAAGGTAAATATAGTAAAATCCCTTGAAGGATTCAATGAAAAGGAGACCAAATTTCCTTTACCAAACCAAGATTTGTATTTTTGGAAAGAAGCAGGAAAAATAATTTACATTTATTTCCATTAAAACAGATCAGGTTTTGAATTTGCCTCAGGACTGACCAGGGCACATTCATAGTTTCATTGTAGCTAGGGTCAGGAGGGACCTGAACAGATCATCTAGCCTGACCCCCTGCCACAGGCAGGAATGAATGCTGGGTTCACAAGACCCCAGAAAGGTGATTGTCCAACCTCCTCTTGAATTTGCCCAAGGTAGGGGCGAGGACCACTTCCCTGGGAAGTTGGTTCCAGATTTTGGCCACCCTAACTGTAAAATATTGCCTTCTGATCTCCAACCTAAACCTATTCTCCATCAGCTTATTATCATTGTTCCTCGTCACCCCAGGTGGTGCTGGGGAGAAAAGAGCTCTGTCTGTTTGCTGATGATCTCCCCTGATGAGCTTTTAGGCAGCCACCAGGTCCCCCCTCAGCCTTCTCTTGCTGAGGCTGAACAGGTTTAGGTCCCTCAGTCTCTCCTCATAGGGCCTGTCCTGCTGCCCTCTCACCAAGTGGGTGGCCCTCCTCTCAACCCTCTCCAGGCCACATCCCCTTTGAAGTGCGGCGCCCAGTCCTGGACGCAGTACTCCAACTGCAACCTGACCAAAGTTGCATAGAGGGGGAGTATCACTTCTCTGAACCGGCTTGAGATGCACCTTTGGATGCATGACAAGTTATGGCTGGCCTTGCTGGCTGCGGTCTGGCATTGGCAGCTCATGTTCATCTTGGAGTCAATAATGACTCCAAGATCCCTTTCCGCCTCTGCGCTTTCAAGAGGGGAACTCCCCAGCCTGTATGTATGCTGTGGATTCCTTCTCCCAAGGTGCAGCACCCTGCATTTGTCTATGTTGAATCCCATCCTATTCTCATCTGCCCATTTTTGTAGTCTGTCTAAATCTAGTTGCAGCCTCTCTCTCCTTTCAAGTGTGTCCACCTCGCCCCACATCTTAGTGTCATCAGCAAATTTGAACAGCGTGCTTTCTACCCCCTCATCCAAGTCGCTGATGAAGATGTTAAACAGTGCAGGCCCGAGGACCGAGCCCTGGGGTACCCCACTGCTCACATCTTGCCAGGTTGAGTACAACCCGTCCACCACTACTCTCTGGGTGCACTCCATCAGCCAATTTTTTACCCATCCAACTGTGCAGGCATCAATGCCACAGTCGCTTAATTTATTGATGAGGATGGGGTGAGAGACAGTGTCAAAGGCCTTTTTAAAGTCTATAAAGACTACGTCCACAGCAACACCATCATCCAAGGATTTAATTACTTGGTCATAAAAGGCAATCAGGTTGGTCTGGCAGGACCTGTTTATTAAAAAACAATAGCCAGCCAACACCAGACAGTGTAGGCTAAAAATAAGCTGAAATGTAGGAACAGCTATCTGATCAACACCAAACCACAGTGCTATTTTATGTCAATGATGTTTTACTTTATGGACCCATACAAGAATTTCTTTATGAAGCTATCTGAGCAGTATTACAAATTATTCAGGATATAAGATTTAAGCTTAACAGACAAAAAGCACAATTAATACAGCAGGAGGTAAAATATTTGGGAATCATTTTAGGCTACCACAGTTGAACTCTGGATACCCAGCAGGTAGAAGTGAATGAAAAATTACTGTCGTCCACCAATGCTCATTCATTAAGGGCTGCCAGTACCCTAACGATAAGCTGTCCATCCTATTATCTTCAATTTGGAGTAAAAATAACAAAAAGTGAAATTATTGAAGAGCTAGCTTTAATTGAAGGCTACCAATACCTTCCCCAGCAAAGGGAGAGCTCTTTCTTTTATCTTTTTTTATAGGAAAACTGATGAACTGTGAGGCTTTGGCACCATGGATGGAATCATCAGCATTTTCTTCTCCTAAACCATGGCTTTCCTATGACAATGAAAACTGTCTTGTCTGTTTTGTGTTGCTTTGTTTATTGTTGCTATTAAAAGTGTATATGCATATGAATATCATGTAGCTGTAATAGAAATTGTTGTACATACATCATCTGAAACTTAGAGTTGTTTGTGGATCCTAGACCAGGACACTTCCTTCCAATTTGGACTGGAAAATGTCCTAATCCTTGGAGTAAAAAGTGGCAGTTTAAGTGGGAACTTAAGTAAAAGGCACCACTTGCATAGCCAAATGGCATTTATAGGGTGGTAATGTGTCTATTCTTTATAACCCTGACAATTTTTTGGTTTTATTTTTATTACTTTCCAGGGAATCCCATTAGTATCTAAATGTAATATATAATGCTAACTTTCCAGGTTGTGTTTGGAAATGAATTAACTAGTGTTCTGAAGAAAATTAAAGAATTGAGGGTTGGATCGCATTTGAAACCCATCCAATCAGCACTTTGGGTTAAAAGCAGGCTGGTTATGGTGTAGTGCTCTGTGGGCGGCAGCATCAGATTGGAAGCTGAACCTGCCTTTCATGATTCATAGATTTCATAAACCTTAGGCCTGGAAGGGACCTCGTAAAATCATCGGGTCCAGCCCCCTGCCCCAGGGACAGGAAGTCAGCTGAGGTCAAAGGATCCCAGCAAGATAAACATCCAAATGTTTCTTGAAAGTGTCCAGAGTAGGTGCTTGCACCACCTCTGGGGGGAGTCTGTTTCAGGCCTTGGGGGCTTGGACAGTAAAGAAGTTTTTCCTTATGTCCAGCCTAAAATAGTCTTGCAGGAGTTTGTGACTGTTGGACCTTGTCTTCCCTTGGGGAGCTCCGGTGAACAGGCATTTCCTGATGCACACCCCTGATATACTTATAGGTTGCCACCAAATCACCCCTGAGCCTGCACTTCTCCAGGCTAAAGAGTCCCATAGCTCACAGCCTCTCTTCATAAGTCCTGTTCTCTTGCACTCTGATCATGCATGTGGCTCTCCTCTGGACTCTTACAAGCTTCTCCACATCCTTCCTAAATTGTGGAGTGTAGAATTGGATTCAGTACTCCAGCTGTGGATTCAAGTGTCTGAAGGATTTACTGGATACACTTTGGCTATATACTGGAAGAAAACCCCACTGTTGGTGCATACTCCATCTGGAAAGGTGCATAAATTCTATGGCAAGCATCAAAGGAAAAAGTGGTGGTATAATGTTTCAATTGGAGTGGGGACCACAATAAACATTGTATATTTAATTGTTTTTATTAAATAAGATATTAGAAAAATATTGATTATTAGCAGTTATGATGTTATGTATTTTGTACCTCACTGGACAACACAGAGTATAAAAACAAGGCCATGGTTATACTGTGGTGTCTCCAATTCCATTAGGATTGAATTTTTCACTTTTGCAAAAGACTTTGTCTTATCCAAAAGTACTTACTATAGTTAAGTCCATTAAAAGGTACAGCCACAAAACAGTAGTTCAAATTAAACACAACATCAGTAATGTTTTTCAGGTTTTAAAAATAATGCAGGAGGCTGAGAAGCATTTTTGGTGGAAAGTTTTGCTAGGATGAAGTCCTACTGCCCAAGGAGTTTTAAACCTAATGCTTCATCCCATTGTGGTGATAACTGGCAGCCAAATTGCTACGGTCATTTTAACTGTTACTTTGGCTTGCTGAAAGTATTGCCGCATTAATCAGTTGCATAGAGCATACCCCTCGGACCTCATATTGCCACGTGCTGTATGCCAGTCTTTGTTCAAGAGACACCATGGCAGAGTCTACACCAGGTATATAAAAGTGCCAGCATGATCATTTTCTTTATTCTGGATGTTTTTAGTTAGATCATCTTAAATTAAACCACAATTATTCATGATGATTTTACTTACAACTCTGCTGTCAATTTGTAGAACTGTGTTCCCCATGTCCATTCATTTATCTTTGCAACTTAAGGAATTTGTTTTTGTGAAGTTGAACGGTGTTGGAATGGTGAGAAAAACATTTTTAATTTTCCTACAAAGCTATTTCTGCTTTGTTAAGTAAAGATGAAGACAGATTTAGAAATCATCACAGTGATTAAAGGGTCCCCAGAGCTCTAAAATGAAGAAACACTCAAAACTTCTTAATATCTGTCCACTACTGCAGTCCTTGTTCTTGTGAGTCACAGATTACACTCAAGTAATGCAGGATCCAGCTTTAGATTATTATTATTATTTTACTAAGTGCACAGCCACCCCCTGCCCCCTGCCCCTCCTGGACAAGCCACCAATGGCTGTGCCCCACCTTGCCCCAGCTGGGCAGCACCTGCACCAGCCCCACTCCCTCCCTCAACATAGGGGCCTTGATCTTCCCCCCCACACCTCTTCCCTCTCCCATGCCCTTTCCTCCCTACA